TAATATGAATATCAATACACGAAGTTCATATAACGATGAATTTCAAATGGTTAATAGAATAAATAATAGGCTAGATGATTTTTTTCTTAAAAGTGACAATTTCCAATATGCGTATAATGATATCCAACTATTATATTATAATGTCTAGGATTTCTTTAAAAAGTATATAACAATCTTGAAAGTTTTCACTTGTTGATTTTGTAGAACTACATAATTTAAACAATGTATATATCTATAGAATATGCAATAATAATGAAGTCTTACAACATATTAGATCCTACTTTTTAAAAATGTCCCAGTTATGCGGGCTGGTCATGGTAATTGATTTTTCAATTTTATGACTTTATAAAGCAATCGTAATAATTGTTTAATTTACTCTGTGTTATTTACTTCAGTTTTTTATCTGAACTTCTTAAAATCTCCAGACCATCTCGAATTCCTCATACGTCTAGAATTTCCTAGTAGGAAGTGCCATAACTGACGTTTATGGATTTATTACTCACACTATACTAAATGTTATAGCATGGCACTTTTATAATTTAGAACGCACCTGTAATTTATTGAATGCTCTTGGTTCTGAATTTGATGCAAATCAATATCAATTAGTTGTATCTGCGCTCTAGATAACACTAGAACAGTCATCAGTAAGATGGAACCTGACACGTATGAATATCGGCCTAGAATACCATGCTACATCAGTAAAGTGACATAAAATTATTAACATGAAAACCAATGTACTAATAGTAGTATCAGTGATTTTAGAAAAGATTAGGTATAGGAAAATATGACTCCAGAAAGAAATGAATTCGTGGAATAAAAGGTATGAAATAATCTTGAAACTCAGGTTCTAAGGAAGACAAATAAAGAATCCATGTACGCCATTGTGACATATTCTGATTCATATCACCAGATGTCTTCAATCATTAGTCACGAAAATCCCATTGATCTCAACAAGATAATCCTAATGAACTAATATGGTTCAATTCAGGAGTCAATGATTTCACGAGTTGATGGCGCATGTTTTATTAATAAGTCCTAGCTTACCCTTACAACAACCAACATCGTTTGTCGAGTTAGGAGGCCGTTTGTCATACATAATGAGTGCTTTAGCCACTTTATTTGGTGAATGTCCACAGATCACATTAACTGATCTACTATCTTTACTAAGTGCCCAACGGGTAACTACAATATTGTTGAATCAGTAGACCAAACATAGACGAGAAATTGCTTAGGATACACCTATGGTAAATACTTAGTCTACCTATGTCTTCTACTCCTAAATATCGTGTTTTACAACGAAATAGTAACACACAGCGGATTATCATAGAGTGTAGTCGCCCACGCTACAAAAGATGCGGGTTAGTAAAGCCAAGTGAGCATTCTGTACCTGTGTTAAGATTTAGTCAGGAAGCAAACCAACAGGACTGACTAAACTTTCAAGATAGTCGAAGTAGTTAACGTGCTCAGATGCTTTATTCCATATGATTGCTTTAGGCATTGATGTTGACCGGTTCTGAACCAACATTTTAGATTTGAAGGGTGAGAGATGGATGCAAAACATGATTGTATTGTTATTGAAGGTATTCGGAGGACTGGATTATGTCAGGGTCATCATGAAATAATACTATTTATTCATGTGTTCTAAGTCAATAAGTGAGTCTCCTAGTAGGAGATCAATCCTTCGAAAATTTATTGGTGTGTAATTCATGTCACAGTGATCATCCGGTATTTTGTATCAGTGGCTCAAAAATCGTTTGAGAAAACTTATGATTGAGTAGGAATCTTGAATTTAAAAAATGTTCCCCATACTTTTGCGATAATTTCCTTTTCCTAATAATTTTTGAATATTTAAATACAAACAGCCAAACCATCTCAATGAGCTAGTGGCTCTAATCTTCAATAGCTAGTTTCGAACGCTTCCAACCTTAGGTAAATTTATTAAAGTCAAACAGTTCAGTACAAAGTCAGATTCTGAAGATCTGAAATACCCATTTCATTAAATAAATTCATTGTCCCCAACGAATCATATAAAGAATTATTCCTCAAATGACACTACGATTAGTGTCCTGGTTATTAAACATTATTACAGTCTACCAAACTAGAAATGCAGTTTTACCACAGTAAATGAACAAACCTAGGGCTACAGGCGTATACCATAGTTTTGAATTGCAGTTAAGGAGTTTTAGTACCAATCAGTTTTTCCATAATTAATAAAACTCCGAATTCTCAAACTTTGTGCACAGCAATTTTTTAATATCACATTATAAGAAAATAATGCCTAGCAGTGTGAGTCAGTGGGACTTAAATTACCAAAGATAACTGATTTTTTCGATCTCCAGCCAAAGAGATTATTGGTTAGTAGTTTGATAAATCCAATTGTTTTTATTATGCATGTTAAAGATGATACACCAGATAGGTAAACGACATTTTACTTGGTATCCACAATTTCTGAAATGAAAACTCTAAGTTATTAATTTATTTAAAAGTTCAAATCCGAAATACTATTCGGTCAGAACTAGTTCTTGGTCAATTACAAAACTGCCTTTATAAATGGATAGTTTATGGGAAAGAAAACGACAATGTAAACAAATTCTACATATTTGATGAACTTATTAAAAACTACAGGTTACTCTGCATGTAAACTGAGAAAAAATGACATATAGACTCGTGTTTATAGATATCGTTTATTCCTTTCTTATAATCTTTATAAGCAGCTAAACAGATTTTCAAGTCCTCGAATCGTTCCTAATTAGGGTTAGGATTATTGGTTTACGCTTAGAGTTTTCATCACGAATTGACATAAGCTAAAACGCAAAAGTGGTTTGTATTCATACAGATCAATGAATTTAGCGCAGAAATCCGAAGGACACTATACGAATAATTGGTCTACAAAATATGGTAACAAGTTAAAGTTTGTTTCAGGGTTAAGGGTTTGGAGATTAAGACGTAGGAATAGTGTTGATTTACTCGTTACAGTTTAAAAAGATAGAATTGAGTTCAGTTTGTCTTAGGCTCTCCGTTCTTACTCTGTGGTTGAAAAAAAGAAATACTTCACCATTAGTTCAAACATTTTGAGCAATATAAAAGGTATTTCTACTGTTCGTCTTAAGTAATGTTTGGATTTCGCGCAAAAATCTTAATTCTAACAAGCTAGTCCACAATATCCTAATACTTTTGTCCATTATTCCTTACTTTTAAACGAATTCGTTTACTAATGATGAGCTAGCAACGACTTATCTTTGTAGATTTACTCAGCAACTATTAGTAATAATAATAGCACTATTATTATTGTTACTATTATCATTATTAATATCACTACTATTATTGACAGTGACATATGGACGACTATATGAGTACAACAGATTATTGTTCATTGTCAGACAAGTTTATTCACAATAAATGAAGCTTTTATTTTCTCTCATACAAATGGCACTATTTATTTCCCATGTAATTATATTTTTGGGTTAAGTTAATTACACAGACAGATGCAAAAGATAATTTTATTAATTCAGTATTTTTGTACAGATACAAATGAAACTTATAACATTAATTTGTATTCTACTCTTTTTCAGTATGATCTGTAAGTAGTTTGACCAGACATTTTTTAATTAATTTGTTTAAAAATTGGATCTTAACAATATTGGTGGGAAGATTTCATGTGTTTTTTTAAAGCTTATACAACATCATAAAATATGAAACAATTAGTTACTAGATATATCCTAGAATGAATGACTAGAATAATATAAGAGAAAGAGGGATGTTCGAATTAATTTTCAAAGGCAATCGATTCGAGAGTAAATTTTCGTATTCTTGCAATATTTGTTTTCCTAACATATATATGTATGTACTTTTTCACTTAATGTGCAAAACGTTTATTAATATTATGAACTTTTCTGTGTTTTGAACTAGAACTAAATTTAAATTGTTGAGATCATGAGTCGATTAAAGCTAGACCGCCATGGAAAACCTGGAAGCACTGGACGGCCATTTCATCCTATTGTGGGACTCTTCAGCAGTGCGCATCGACGACCTCGCCCCCTGCGAGATTCGAACCCAGGACCTATTGGTCTTGCGCGTGAGCACTTAAGCACTAGACCACTGAGCCGGCATCCAACGGTGTTAATGTCTAACTTCAACTAATCCACTAAATTGAGCGACACATACACCATTGTCATCAGTGAGTTACCATCTCACAACTAAATTATCTTTAATTCGGAGAAAATATTACCGTTTTGAGTAGGGCATATAAAAAATCAGTAAATTGGAATTCTAAAGTATTTGTCGTACTAATTACAACTGAATTTATGTTCTGATTTACCTATCATTTCTAAGTAACATAAATCAACGAGGACCATTCTAAATGATGTGAATACTATAACATTATCACTTCTAGTTGATTCACGTGATCAATTAAACCAACAATATGCAAATGTAACCGAAGTATTGGGTCCTAGATAATTAGTAAGGTTACAGTCGTACCCATCTTGTTCGTAATCCAATTTATCTGCTTGTATATCATTATGGTTTTATCATAAACCACGTGGAAAATCTAGTCGACGAGGAACTAAACATAATTATAGTGATATAACTCAATCATGAACAATGTGAAGCCCCGGATTATTATGTATCAACCAAAGCTGCTGCATTATATAAAAAATATAAAGATTTCATACACGTCATCAATGGAGGAAGAAGGGTCAAAAGGTGAGAGATTATCTTCAAGATATATATGCATCATTATGCTCAATTTTATATTTGGTCTACGGATATTCGAATAATAAAACTATTCAAATTAACGTTTTAGCTGATGCGTTTTCGATTGGGTAAGTGATGAGATTATATTAGAATGGTGTCCCAACAGTCGTCAGTAACACTGGCTATAATTTGTAGAATGCATACATAATAAAATTCATTAGATAGGGAGGGGATATTTTTAATCACAAAAGCAATTAAATATTTAAAGTATTTACTGGATGGTATATATATATAACCGAACTCACCTTTCAACGTTTTGATAGCAATCTCAGTATCATTAGAATTGCTTTCGTCGTCAGCATTAATGGATAACTTTCCTTTATAAACAATTCCATAATTACCTTCACCAAGGAGATTTTCTAGAGTAAAAGATGTTTTCGGTATATATGTTTTAGGACTAGAATTCAAATACTGATTTAACCATTGTAACAGCATTACGTTACATTGAAGAATGTTATATTTTTGTGAAAAATATTTGGATGGTTGACATAGTAATCTTTGTGAAAATGACGTAAGTATATCTGTTATCTTATGTTTTGTATCTGTATCGATAGTACTGATGTTAGAAGAACCAGATCGAGAATATATTGTACATGGTGATAACGGGGAAGATAATGACGACGATGGTGGCGACGACGATGTAGAAGAGCCGGAGTGATGCAACAATAATTTATGTTCTGGCTTTGTGTACAGTAAATTCATTTTACGGAAAACATCAACACGTTTCGATTTTGCATTTTTATCAAAAAAATCAATAGGTATAGATAGCACAGTTTGCATTGACTTACGCCTAATTTGTATACAATATATCAATGATAGAGGGATAGTTGAAATTGTTATAAATATGATTATCCAAATAAGAATAGGTGGGAGGAACCTAGAGATTAAATCTGTTGTAAAATAATGATAAAAATGAAAAAAACATGTAAGGAAGAACGGCTAAGCAATTGAACATATTCAATAATCTAGCTTAGATTGATGATATCTAGTAACTTTATTAGTATAGTGGGAATAGTTTAAACAAAAGGAATATTATATTAAAAATAAGAACAAACAATATCAATGATGAATTTTACGACATTATGAAAGCGTATTTTTGAAATTGTACAATTACAAGTTAAAAGTTTAGCCATAGTTTGTTTTCCCTGAGATGTTAAGGTTTTATGCTACCAAGCGAGAGGGCATTTGTGAACAAATGATACGCAGTACGTAGTAGCTCCCTATCAATCTCTGAATGATTTATACATATACCAACGCTTACTTGTCCTCAGGTTAAAATGCTACTAGCACACGTCGCATTAATTCATTCTTATTAAAACTCAAGGATTAATTAATCCCTATGTTCTAGTCTTAAACATTATACCGTTACTCGAAATATTCCTGAAGTGGTGTATTCTTTCTGAGTAGGTGGAAACTGTATGAGAGAATTGATTCTCGCGTTAGTTGTAGTTGGGAGTCGGCTGGTATCATTTCAGAATAATTTAATAAACAAACAAATCTACACAATAAACATATAAACCATAAGTCTATAACCTGAATGGAGAAATAAAGTTACACTCTAGAATATATAGTACGGAAGTTCATGGATGTTAACAATAACCTTCGTCTTTCAATTATTTCAGTACACCAATTTTCATCCCCTGACATCATATTTTTTTAAATTGAACAAACGTATTATTATCACAGTTAATATTCTTTGTATAGATACATTCTCTGTTTGTAAGTTAAAAACAGTTTTTTCCAATACATTTATTTAACTGTTACTCTCACAAAACATAAGTAAACTATGAGAAGCAGAGTCAGATTTCGAGTAATTGACCTTTGAGTAACATCCTATATCACGTAAATTAGTTCCTGTTGTTGATAAGATCTTATCGACCATTTGTTGTGTAACTTCTAATCCAGGTGATTCAACATATAGATTAGTGTACTGTGTGATGTTCTGTAGATGGAAGCAATCGACAAGTATGTTAGTTTTTGATGGGCTTTTTAAAACTATCTCATTATAAAGACCGAAAAGTACGATATAGAACTTTTTACATTAAAAGAATTTTTCTAAGAGTTAACATCTTTAATGAACATAATCTACTAAGACGGTTGATGAATATTTATACATGATGAAATTAACCCTCCAGAATTACATCAATTGGTAAATGATTTTCTAAATTATTAATATTTTGATTACTTGCAAGTAGTCATTAGGACCTTGGTTCAATAATTTGTCTTCTAATAAAGAATCGACAAAAAGAGACGGTACAACAAACAACTAGATACGATAACAACACAACATTACTGAATATATGTTCACAATGGCCTTCAGAACAACTTTTGAAGAGCATCATCGATAATCAGGATAAGATTGGATTTCGTTTCACTAATCAACTGGTATGCGTGTATGTAAACAGTATTAAGCTGTTGACAAATTTTTATAATTAAATCAAAATTTAGTTGATATATTGTACAATTACAAATAATCAACTACTTTAACGCATTAAGAAACAAAGTAAAGTATCTACCAATATAAAAGAAGACCACATATTCAAATAAAAACACCGAGATTTTTCAATTTATTGGTGACGTAAACATGAATACTCAGGATTTTTGAATAGTGATGCCATGATAACCAGAGAAAATCTTTGGAAAATCGGCAGTGTTTCGAACTAATACACATAAGACAAACAACTATTCATAATGAGAATTCTCTTAAACAATCATATAGTTAACAGAAAACAATATAAATATAATAAATCTTTCTAATAGGATAAAATCAATTATCATTTTAGTAATATTTAGGTATGGATATAATCACCAAATGATTGAGAATAAGTTTTAATGGATGACGCTAGATCGTAGTACTATAAGCTAATGAAAAAAAAATCACACCACGTCATTGTTTCCACTTTTTAGTTTTATTTTGAATTATTCACTCAAAGCACGTCCCAGCATGATCTAATGTGCACCCTTAATGACAAGCCAATAGGCATATAGAACAAGAACGAAAAAAATATGCTCATAGACATGTGATTGTTATCCTAGAGCAAGAACATTTTGGACTGATTTGTGAAATTAAACTTCATTTTATGTAAATTGACCAGCAATTTTATATTAGACAGAAATTACATTTAAGTCCTACTTTAAACACAATGTAGCTTGTAACATGTTTGAACAGACAACCCCGATTCTTGCCTAATGATGAGGGGATGTATGATAAATACTTGAGTGAGAACGCCCCCGCATGTAAACAACACAGCCCAAATATAAATTAGGTGGTAATCTGACCAAATCATATTAAAATCCACAAGGTCGTTATACTATGAGCGTTAGACGAACATATACATGTATATACATAAACATCAGACTTATCATGTGAGCACCACTTCGGTTTGGAAATTAAACAGTAGGTTGATGGGCCTGGGGTCATTTGCCTCAACAGCCTACGCTAACAAAAAAGCATGTTTGATCATGTAAGTGAAGTACATACCCCTAATGCCAACACGATACAGTTTGGGGAAGTCATGTAAACAGTCAATGCACAAACAAATATAGGTTATTCCAGTATTGCAAGACTAGAATCATATTTTATCCATAACCATCATGTGTGGGGATTATCGGCAAGGCGATTCTGTCTTCGCCATGTTAAACACTAGATAGCTTAGGTGAATTATTTTCATAACAATTTATTACTTCTAGACACAGCTAAAACTAAATGAAATTGTCGAAGAAACTATGATGTATTTCCTTAATAAATGTACATAAACTCCGCCACTTATTATTCTCCGTTCATTCAAGGACGGTGACATTCTAATAAGATGACTGATGAAACTATTTGAAGGAGTAATATGGATTGAGTCACGTTAATTTTGATAAAGCAAATTCGAACAAGCTTTTGCAATACATCTGGCAACCGTCGAGTCACCACCTGCGTCCAAATCCTTAGGTATTATCGTACTGTGAAGAGCATACTTAAGGTGTAAAGTTACTTATGAAGAACGGAATGGATTTCATTCTGAACATGTTAATCACATATGCAGTATCTATCAAAGCAATTAAGTCCAAAATACAGGGAGCAACACTCATTAGATCTTGGAATAAGAGATTACGACTGCGTCCTGGAACAGTTTGTTAGAAAGACGTATACCTGAGAAGTTCATTAGCACTTAAAAAACAACAATCGAAAAAAACATAATATTAATGTGATGATATACGAACACATCTCATTTTATTGTACACTAATAGCATTTCTCACGCTAACCATTTCTCTCCAATTTCTCAACTGATAGCATTCTGTAAACAACTCTGAAAGGAAAGGATTGTAAGAGTGTGAATCTATAGCAAGACGAAATATTTTCTGGCGTCGAGTATGCAAAAGTTATTAACTTACAGTGCATTAGCATACATTCTATTCACATAGCATTTGGTCAGTCAGCAGTCAACATTCGTGTATAAAAGAAAGGGTATGATTCATGATCAACCGATTTTCTGATCTTATTGGTAAATACATCAAGCAATCCAATATCTCACCTCACCTTACTGAACCAATTGGTTACATTTATAAGAGCAGACCCATGTACAAAAACAAATTAAATTAGTTCCAGCAAGAATACTTTGAAATTGCATAGAACAGAGAATTACCAAATATTACAATATTTTAATAATTGATTCTATGTGGGAATAAATTACTGAAGATTCTAAATTATAATGAATTAACTATATTCGGATCCTTGTGAATGATGTTTCAGTTATGTTGTTACATCACAGATTTTATTTTTATTTTTGATCGAATTGCAAGGAAAGTGAGTGTGAATAAAAAATCTAGTAATCGAAAACCACAGGAATGTCAAATAGTCAAACTTGTATATATTAAATTACACATCGTTACTGCTTTACTGATCTGGATAATCAGTATCTTACCAGTATTTTGTAATAAAGAAATCTAAAGTAAACATGGTAAACTTAGTACCGTATCAAAAAAGTAAGATATAGTATTTCATTGCGTTGACGGTATAACACATTACAGTAAGTATCTCTAATCACTATGATTTAATACGTAAAATAAATAACAGATTTTAAAGAATTTATAATTTGACAAAACTGACAACTAGTTTCTGACATTACAACTTTCGCATCACAAATACTGAACTAGATAACGTTGACACAAGTACTATTTAGTAACAGTGTTTAATTTAAGTGGCCAAATAAAGATATTCACTTTCATTATTTAAAAAATGAATATATTATGTTATAATCTAGTGGTAATTGAAACATTACTGTCGATTGACCTCTTGGTCAAAGGGCAATAAGAAACGAAATCAAATGAAATGAGAAATAGAGGAAGGAACCGTTAAACACTAAATAAAATATAAATGGAAATTCGAAAAAGTTTGACAGAGTCAAATAAAATAGTAAACCGTATGTGTGATGTCCATCATGATACTGATGACAGGTTCATATCAAATCGTACTATATAAAACATCGTCATTAAAAATACGTGGCCGTATGTTCACTCACACGTTACCGATGAGGTAAATAATCTTCTATGCACGATGCAAACATTTTCTATCTACCTCAGGTGTTTATAAACTGAATCACGATCAATGTAATATATTGAAGGGAGATTCTACATAAACGCAGTGCATACATACCTCGGTGGTCTCCTTTCGATGTGAGTTAGGGATTGCAGACATTTACATATCCAAATAATTGTTGTCAAATCTCAATGCGGTATCCTAACTTTATTAATTACATTCAAATATATATGAAATGAATGATATAAAAAGGAAAAATAAATTTACTTGATTTTGAACAATCCATAACCGTAATTGTTACATTTTTATAAAAGAAATCATTTTTGCATATATACAATCCACTATCACTATGGGACAAGTTTTCTAATTTTAATATAATGCTATTGTCAAATAGCATATAGCGCTTCTCATTGTTTGTGAAAGAGTCGGATACTTTTGAGTCCTAGATTTACAAGAATACAGAAAAAGAAAAAATACCTAGAATCAAGCAAAAAATCTGGGGTTTGTTTTAACAGATGAATACTTTTCACATAATAACCGAATGAACTACGAACTACTAAATTAAAACCATTATAGAAGTGACTAATACTTCGCATTAAATTGTTTGGTATTCCATACTTAATCTTGACCTCACTGGCTTTAATCGATTGAACTTAAGCTGAACGAATGTTTAGAAATATCAACCCCACTTTTAATAACTCACCAAGTACATTCATTATTTATTGACTCTAGACAGTTAAAAATCTCTCCCTTCCTTGATTTCGTCCTCAAATAAATATGATGTTTACTTTAGACCAGTACTATCAACGATTGACTGAGTTTATATGAAATATCGACGTATAACATCTTTGAACTTGACACCAGCATCGATAGATCGAGATAGACAGGTCTGATTGTCATCATAATATATTTAACAATATTAAGAGTAGTAGTACTACTTAATTTACAAACATGAGCTTAAATATACCCACGCAGCATTCAACCTCTCAATTAAAATCCACTGGCTCGAAAATTCCTCGTTTAAATCCAACCATTATTGATGCCCAATAATACAAAGAAAAGTGAGAAAAAGAAAGACCTGTAAATCCCTAACGAAACATCTTAATTGATAATGAATCTTTTGTAGTCGAGATCATGAGTCAATTGAAGCTAGATCACCATAGAAAACCTGGAAGCATCAACCGAGAAAAATGAGAAAATACTTCATCCTTAACCTAAACTACGTATGCTTTTTTATTGTATTTATTGTAATTAATTGCATCATGGGACCATCGAGTAAGTAACACAGTTGTTAGGAGACGGGTACTAGGTAAGGATGGCAAACCGATTGATGACGTAGTGAAACTTCATCAGTTGAGATGGCTGGGACACGTGTTACGTATGCTCAACGACCGACTGCCTCGACGTGCTATGTTCAGTAGTATAGGAGTAGGTTGGAAGAAGGCTAGGGGTGTCCAGACCAAAACATGGCACAAGTTCATGAAGTTACTGACAAGTGGACTGAGCCATGTTGTTAGGTATAGACTACCTGGTTGGGGTCCGCAACCAATGGTTAGAGATCTTGAATGACATGGCTCAGAATCGTTTGCAATGGCGCAGGTGCATCCACTCTTTGTGTTCTCCCAAATTCTAATCTTCTGAATTCTTCATGTCCTTTGTTTTCTTTCCAAATTTATTTCACTGGATTATACTCTATAAATAACATCTCCAAACCCTAATCTTCCCGATTACTGCTTATACTCTTACTACCTCTACCACTACGGGATTTGAATCGACAACTGCATCTCTGTGCTAATGTGGTGTGGTAACTCGAACTGATGTATGTACGTACGAAGTTCTACGTTGTTACTGACTGACTGACTGAATTAATTGGATTTTATAAGTGCAACTTGTCAAAAAATTCCAAAAATAAAAAACCATGTCATATATATATATATGGTGTATAGGGAAAGTACATAAACGATGGCATCGAAAACACAGATAAGCTCATTTTTTACTTTTAACGCTTAATTAACAACTGTATCTCAAATATAACATATCAATAAATACATTGGAGACACCGGTGGAACTTGAGTATGTACAAAGAATGAAGTGTATTCTATGTAGATCCAATATATTGTTTCAGAAAAGACTAATGATGTGCTCGAGTAAGTGTGAGTATCTAGTTGTCAATCAGCATTTCATTAAAAATAAAGACGTAATTCAGTGTTTTACCGACATTTTAAGTTTGCACTAACCACGCTCTATATTAATAGATATACATCAGTAAACGAAAAATTAAGATGCCTTAGTTTCACATATGCAGTCTCACAAAATAATTGAAAACTCACTGTCATTATCATGATAGCAAATGCCAATTACATGTGATGCGAATTTCCATACTATGATCAGTAAACACTTCAGTATAGAGCTAAGTTTTATTAGCTTCAGTGAACTTTGATAACAAAATCCTACTAATGAGTAATTAGTACATCAAAGTTTGAAGAAGGAACATTTGTTTAACACAAGAGTTTCAAACATTAGTTCAATTTGAAGACGTCCAAACACTTCTATCTGTAATGCAATAACGATTTCAGGGGATTTTTCGATAACACTTGGTATGGGAAACTGCATATTTTCAAGTAACTTGGCCCATGCAAACGCCACCATTACTTCCTACAGCTCTATAAGAAATTCTGTCTGTAAACCTAAAGATCCATTTACAAACCTGAATCACAGCGTTGATAGTTATTCAAACAAATCATCATACTACCTAGTTAGTAACACATGAACCTAGTTGTTGTTTCTGTAAACCAAATCGTGATAAAGCGACAATTTAGCGTTGATTTATATATTAAATCGAACTTACATTCCAATAAATTAGCTTATCTGTAATGCTACAGGCCTACTAAAAGAGGGTTGACAAAACGGGTTTAAACATGTGATTACCTTATTTTTTAACATTTAGATCACTGGGTTATGAGTGTTTATACTATCTATGGCAATTAAAATCATATCATAAGGATGAATAGCAAAATAGTTCAAGAGGAAATAAAGTCTTTAAATACAAAAAATTCATTGAACTCACTTTCAGAAGCCTAGGGTGTTTGTCGTATTGGCCTAAATACCATACTTCAAGTTGACTTATTGTTCGTGGAACATGACATACCAGAATTACCTCTTTGGACACACAAGTTACATTATCTAACAAGTAGAATCGAAACTCAGTGTAATTTGTTAAAATAAGCGTTGATAAATCTAAGGAATTCTTTTCGTTTGTTACACTGAACAAATCGGAATGAACATCACCAGAACCAACTTCACTTGGTAGACGTAATTCATCAATTAATTCAAAACTTGGTGCTTCAAATTCTGTATCACTATAGTAGCAGTTTTGACAAACAATATTTACAAAACAAGTGTAATTATGTACAAACGGTAGGTATGGATAAAGTCAGATATATAAATTAAGCCTAAGTCTCAACAGTGAATATGGGAAAATAAGTTGTGCTTCCTTTGTTCGAGGTATTCACCATATTTATTTACTCTTAGATGTCGAAAAAGAAATAAACATGTTACAAGCACTATTTTAAGAAAATCATGTATCATTCCTAAAATCAAGCTCTAAGTGGGAATATATTGTACTTAAATCATCAAAATCTTATAAAAGCAAACAGAAAACAGGACAATACACATCATGATTGATCCATGAAACCTCGTAAAAACTTTAAACTTTATATAGAGACAAGAATAACATAACTCATCACTGTACTATAGGGCTAATTTTTAGAAGAACCGTCATGCGTCACAATTCAAGACCGCTTTTTATACATTAGGATTTATTGTTCAAAGTAGTATAAACAAACATTATACTAAATATATAATTATCTCTGAGCGCAAAATTCAGAAAGAGAATGCGAAAAATCAATATTTCATTACTGGAACATCTTTTTGATTCTTATTACACTCTCCAAACAGAAATATCTTTTAGAGATATCTAACACTGTCAAACGACTGAGCATAATGGGATTAGAAATAAAAGAGATTGTGTACTGCAGAGGCTTTAACGATTCATTGGTTCGAGTTTAAACTTTATGTCAGTCAGTCAGCTACAATGTAGGAGGACTAGACACATATATGCACAGGTCCAAGTTGCCACACCTCATTAACACAACAAGGTGATTGCATATTCTAAAGATATGATACCGGAAGAAAAATTTAGTTCGTAGAAAGAGAGGTATACAGTAATTCTGATCTCACGGCTTAAGGGAAGACAAAGAGTGTATACACCTACGCCATTGTGATCAGTTATGAGCCTTGTCATCCAGAGTCTCCAACCATTGATTACGATAATCGTGCGGACCTCAACCAAGTAGTCTGCATCTACTAACATGCCTCAGACTAGAAGTTAGTGACTTCAAGGACTGATACCACGTTTTGGTTTGGTCACCCCGAACTTTCTTCCAACCAGCCTCAGCACTAGTCAGCATTGTCCATAGTGGTAATCGGTGTTCAGGCATACGTAACATGGGCCCAACTATCTCAGTCAATGTGAAGTCAGTTGGCAAAAGTCAGACGAGCTTTCTAATTCCCTGCAGAGATCTCATCAGGCACCAACATATTAGGGCTGATAAGACTTCCAACATAAGTGAAGTTTGTCAACGCGTTCGACTACTTCATCACTCCCTATGTACCAAAGCGACATTCTAATATCTTCTATCCCACCTCGAAATTTTCATGCTAGGTAATTACAGTTCATAATCTCCTCTAGTCACTTTCTATTATCACACGTAGGTCTTTCATTTCTCACACCTTTATACACATCAAATGGATAATTACCTCACGCATGTTTTCCTACCATTTTTAGTCTATAACTTTCGGATGGTTACACATGTGATATTCAAAGTTTCTGAACATTTAATGATGCAATCACCTATTTTACAATAGACTACTATGTCTGTTAAATCACTATAAGATGGAAAAGCTTAGGTTAATAATACTGTCAAAAAATGTTTCTTCTTCAAGTAAACAATGGGTCAAAAGGGAATACTCAAACTTTAATCAGTTTCACCACGTTAATGAAAGCGGTTCAATCAATATACAGGACTACAGTTTTTGCGATTAATTTTCTGAGTTTTAGTTAATAGCTAGTATATTAGTATGAGGTTGCGAAAATTAACAGTTATGATATGAAATGTTAATATGAAGAAATATCGTTATTTTTCAAATCTAGTAAAACCAATCCCATCCTATCAGTATTTCTCTCCATTTCTTTAGGTACTTAGTTATTTGAGTGAATCGTTTTTGGGGGACTGATATTGCTTTGAAGACAATTTTTTTAATCATAAAACCTCGCACAAATTTTAATGGTTATCCACTAAAACTCAACAAAAAAATATATAAGAGACATTTTAAGTGTCACGTTTTAAGATTAAAAAACTCATATTCGTATAAGTATAGAAAAACTCACTTTGAATAAGAAAAAAGTATGTCGGTCAATTTTTCAAGGACTGTAAATGAGTTGATAATAGCTATGTCCGAATGATTTGATGTTCGAATAATACAATCAAAAGAATCACTTCCACTGATTGATACAATCGTAATTTCCGTTGAATAGCAGCTCCCACTTAGATTACGTTGAGTTTCTGGGATAGAACTGCAATTGAACTCAGCAAGCTAAGAAAAAGAAAAAAATTAAAATAATCTAGGTTAATTCGAATTACGTGGCAGTAAAACGTATCCAATCAAAGGTAAGATATAAAATCAGTAGTGACTGAGAATTCTGTCCAGTTGTCCCACTGTTCATTCGAAGATGAGATGAATATTCTTCATTGTCTTTAGTTTGAGAAAGACCACATCACCCAGATCTTCGTCAAAATAAGTGAAAATGAAACTAAGACACATTCTCATAAACTTTAAAAGTCACATGAGTGGACTTATCACCACTGACGTTATCAATAATGTGAAAATGCTATTTGATGATATTAAGTCACTACAGCTTATCTATTTCAGTCAGTCAGTAACAACGTAGAACTTCGTACGTACGTACATCAGTTCGAGTTGCCACACCACATTAGCACAGAGATGCAGTGGTCGATTCAAATCCCGTAGTGGTAAAGGTAGCAAGAGTATAAGCAGTAATCGGGAAGATTAGGGTTTGGAGATGTTATTTAAAGAGTATAATCCGGTGAAAGAAATTTGGGAAGAGGGAAAAAGGGACATGAAGAATTCAGAAGATTAGAGTTTGGGAGAACACAGAGAGTGGATGCACCTGCGCCATTGCGAACGATTTTGAGCCATGTCATTCAGGGTCTCTAACCATCGGTTGCTGTCATCTCGCGGTCCCCAACCAGGTAGTCTACACCTACCAACATGACTCAGTTCACTTGTCAGTGACTTCATGGACTTGTGCCATGTTTTGGTCTGGCCGCCCCTAGCTTTCTTCCAACCTACTCCTATACCACTGAACATAGCACGTCGAGGCAGTCGGTCGTTGGGCATACGTAACACGTGTCCCAGCCATCTCAACTGATGAAGTTTCACTACTTCATCAATTGATTTGCCATCCTTACCTAGTACCCGTTTCCTGACAACTGTGTTACTTACTCGATGGTCCCAGGATATACGAGCAATGTTTCGAAGACACCTATGATCGAATACTAGTAACCTACGGATATCCTCTACTCTTACCGGCCATGTTTCACTGCCATAAAGTAGGACGGAACGAACTGCTGCGCAGTAAACACGTCCTTTGGTTGATAGACGGATATCTCGCCTACGCCATAAATGACGCAAGTTGGCAAAAGCTAGTCGAGCCTTCTGTATCCGTGCTGAGATTTCGTCACACACCAAACCACAAGGGCTGATGAGACTTCCAAGATAAGTGAAGCGGTCGACACACTCAACTACTTCACTCCCTATCACTAGTTCGGGTGTCGATGTAACCCAATCCTGAAGCAACATTTTACATTTCGAGGGAGAGAATCGCATCCCGAACATGCTTGCATTGTTGCTTAGAGTGGTCAGAAGACTCTGCATTTTGTCAGCGTCTTCACCAAATAAAACTATGTCATCTGCATATTCTAAGTCAACAAGTGAACCTCCCGGTAGAAGTTCAACCCCTGGAAATTTAGATGAGGAGAGTGTTATCTCTAAAAGTACGTCAATGACAAAGTTGAACAAGAATGGGGAGAGTGGACAGCCCTGACGAACACCACTTGAGGTGATCAATTCTGATGACAGTTCGCCATAAGCTCTCACTCTACCAGTTGTGTTCGAGTAGAGAGCCTTTATAAGGTTAATGTACTTCTTTGGTACTCCTTTCAGTGACAAACACTGCCATAGAACCTCACGATCAACGGAGTCGAATGCCGCCTTAAGGTCGAGAAATACTACCATTGTGGGGCGTCTGAATGTGTGTCTCTGTTCTAGAACCTGACGTAGTGTGAATATCTGATCTATACAACCACGTCCAGGTCGAAAACCAGCCTGGTTTTCTCTAGTCTGTTCTTCACGAGCTTTAGTTAGGCGTCGAAGTATTATTGAGGCCAATATTTTAGACACTATATTAGTCAAACTGATTCCTCTGTGATTGTCACAAGAGGACTTTTGTCCTTTCTTAAAAACTGGCACAATCAGTGATTGAGACCAGTCAGATGGGATTACGTCCAGTTCCCAAATTCTACCTAAGACCTCAGTTAATCTTGCTGCTAATACTGGACCACCATCCTTAAAAATCTCAGGAGTAAACATGTCAGGGCCTGCTGCTCTCCCTCGTTTCAGATTTCTTATGGCTTTTTCAACTTCGTAAAGGGACGGAGGACTTACATTAACTTGCCATTCAGGTTGACTGGAGATCGTGGGAAACCGAAGTGTGGCTGAAGGCCAGTTGAACTGATCCCTAAAGTGTTCTGCCCATCGATCCAATCTCCTGGATTGAGAATGAATAATATGTCCATCTTTCTCTGAGATTGTTTCGCTAACGGTCGGTTTCCTAATTCCGGTTTCCTTAACGAGTCTAAACAATTGTCTGCTATTACCTATCGCCGCTGCCTTTTCCATCTCTCTTGCTTTCGCTACCCACCACTGTTCACGATCATTGCGTAGACTTCTTGTCAGCTTGCGCTTAAGCTCACTCCGCTCTTCATTATGTTCAGAGCCAGGTGGAATGAGTTTTCGAGCATCTATCAGTGCGATAGATGCTGCTGAGATCCAGTGTTGCTCCCTAACTTTACGGTTTACCTTACTAGCAGATATCACTGCTGTTTCCACAGCTTTTCGGATATCGTTCCATGCTGCCTCGGGGTGGGCATCACATACATGGCTGCCTAACTCTTTTCCTAGTTGTTCCTGAAATATACTCTTAGCTTGACTATCATTAGGTAGGGCCCTAAGAGGTTTCCTTGCAGGATCTTTCCTACGTCCAGTAAGACGCAAGCAAATACGCGCTCGCACTAGAGCATGATCTGAATCTAGGCATGTGCTCCAGAATGAGCGACAGTCTTCTATCGAGCCCCTCCATCGGTGGCTGATAGCGATGTGATCTATTTGGGTCCAACGTTGGGACGAATTAGGGGGTCGCCATGTTAAAAGATGTTTTTCCTTATGCTTAAAGTTAGTATTTGCAAGGAACAGGCGGTTATCTGAACATAGCTGCAACAGACGGTCGCCATTATCTGTTCTTTGAGCCACGACACCATAGGATCCACCTAGGTGTCTTTCCTTATCGCTTAGTTTACCTACTTGAGCATTAAAGTCACCGGCCACTATTACTACATCCGAGCGCTTAGCTTTTCGGAGAAAGTCCGAAAGCTTTCTGTAAAACTCATCTTTTACATCATCTGAGCTGCAGTCAGTGGGAGAATAGGCAGAGACGACGAAGAGGCAACGACGAGTGTCCCTATCTTTCCGGATTCTTACTGTTCCGTTCAGTCGGACAGCGCACAAACGACTGTTTACTGGGATCCACTCTAAGAGAGCTAGTTCTGCCCTAGGACTCAATGCTATACCTACGCCGGCGAGGCCACGGGAAGCAGAATCAGGGCTTCCAGATACACGAAGCGTAAATCGAGTCGGTTGTTTATTTTGGCATGGTGAGGTCAAATGAATGACGCTACTCGGATCTTGTATGCGCGTTTCGGAGACGCAGCACACATCGATGGCGCGAGATTCTAAAGTCCTAGCTAAGGAAGCCTGTTGTCCTATTTGGCACAGTGTTCGTACGTTAAAAGCTCCTACGTGTAGTTTAGAGCGTGGTTTCAGGAGCCCAGGAATGGCGTTCCACGTACTCGAATCGTTTGCCCTAGCGGTGCGAGGTGATAAAGAGACGTGAGGAGGGTTAGTCGGGAGGATAAGAGAGGTATTAGGAGGTGTAGGAAGGATTTGAATGTGACCACCTTGGTCTCTTGTGCTGTTACGGGTATGAGGGCTGATGTCACTTCCCGGCTGCCCACACCGTGGAAGGGTATTTCTTGATGAACCTGAAAAGGAAATTGGATTAGTGTTGGTCTTGACGACCTGGGAGCGTGACCGCAGAGCCCAAGGGACAACTGCTTGAGGCCGGTCGCGCACGGCCTTTTTGTGGAAGGTTTTTGACGTGTTAGCTCCGTTCTTCAAGGGGCCTTACCGCCGGAGACGGAAATCCGTGAGGTAAGGTGAGGTGTGCATTTTTAGGGTCGACCTTTTCTAACCCCACCCCTCCTTGTGGGAAGGCAGCATCGCTGTCATGCTGGTTGTCCGAGGGAAACACCTTACTGCTGTCACACCTCTCTACAGTCAGCAGTACGACTTCGCCCTCAGACCTTGAGTTGCTGCTTTTAGTCTTACCGTTCGCCAATCGACCTGCCTGGCATGGTAGAACCTGCAGGAACATATGTTCCAGCCAATATAGCTCGGTTGGGTCATCACGATAGGCAAGCCCGACCACCGCGTCAAGGTAGCAGCTTCGATCGGGGCTTATCTATTTAAAACAGTTTGTCCCTCTCATAAATCTCCATGTTATAAAATGTGTAACCCACATACGTCACACATTTTAGATCAAGTCTTTATTTATATTACATTATCGAAATTTTATTCGTGGTCTTAATGTTAAGAAAGGGATCCTCTTTACTTAACCCAGTGTTGAATGAAATTTCTTGAGACCCGAAAGATTCCATACTTTAGAGAGACTAACCACAAAAGTTCCTAAAATCCTACAAAATAAATAAAATTTTGTCGTCAATGGACAAATACCTGTAACTTAAGAGACCCTTTTTTCATTGTTTCATTCAAGCAATGTGGTTAAGCAGGGTTTCCTAATCTCACTATCCCTCTCCAACTTTGCCATCGATGACGTTCTGAAAACAGCTCTGGTGAATGTGGGTAATGGTGGTGTGGACCTGTTGCCTAGAGAAAGACATTTAAGCCTTGAGTGTGAGGATGATATTGTCTTAATGTGCAATGAAAGCCAAGCCATTCAATCTGTGCTTAGTCCGTTAGCAATGTGTTCGTAGGTATTGCATGTGATTTGTACGTGGTTTGTAAGTGCAAAATACTTTTACAAGCCTGGTAATAGCTTACATCTGAAATCACTCTTGGTGGTGAGCAGGCAGAAGTAATTGGGAAGTTCGAAGATATGAGTAGCTGCGTAAGTGCTGATGGTGAGAGTGAGCGATGAAATCAATATAATGAATATAATGAATCTTTGTGACTGCGAAAATTCGGATATATAATGCCCAAGTCAGAACAGTTTTGCTCAATGCTTGCGACTCTTCGACTCTTCACGTTGAGAAAGTTAAGCAACTCTCTGCGTTTGACCGTAATATTCGATAGATTGCTGACATCCAGTGGCAACACTACGTTAGTGATGTAAAGTTTCGGCAACATGTGTCCAGGCACAGCAAAGATAATCCCGTTGGTATTACCATCTTGAAACAACGACTTCGGTGGCTTGGACGTGTATCAAGAATATCATCCAGAGATTTCCACATTGTGCATTACTTACCTTCGACGGGACTGATTGGAAAAAGCGGAGAGGTGGTCAGTGTATGACATGATATCCTGGTGTTAAAGCTGTACAGGACTGGCTTGTGTTGATCCTCCACAACTTCCTGGTTGGGGTCCTAGAGATGCCGCAACACAGTGGCTAGAGACGTTATCAGACATGGCTCAGAATAAAAGCCAGTGGCGATACTACTGCAACTTTCTTCATAAAAAGTGAACGTAACTTCTTTAACTGAAAGAATTCTTTCGGGTTATATTTCTCAGAAATAAACTAATTCTCCTATTATTATTATTACCATCGTTATTAGTATCACTAGTTTGTTGTTATTGGTTTACTTTCATACACCAATTTTTACTCAGCTTTGTTGTTTCGCTATTATACTCACCTTCCTTTATCTCTTCAAAACCCCACTTTTATTGTGGCGCATATATATTATTGTTCCCCGTTGTGCCAATATTTGTGCTTAAATAAGTAACTTAACTAAGAAGACCTAAAAAAGTCCCAGAAGAGCAATAATCTCGTTCTTTATTTAGGAAGAATTGTGGATTAAAAGCAGCGGCTATAAACAAACAAGTATCTAATGACCAAAGACTACCATCATAAAAACCAACCACCAAACCTGACTAAAGTTCTTTAGTGCGCGATCACAGCACTTTTAAAATTACGTTTTTCTCGTTTAGCGTATTTTTGTTAACGAAATAGCATAACAGAAATTGTTACGAATTAAAATAAAGAAACTCTTCCTAGGATTTTACTGGCAGGTGGTTTTCTATGTTAAATGAACCCAGAAAGCAATAGGATAACTAAAACGTCCACTGAAATAAGAACCTCTATGCGATTCAAGCCACATGAAGCCTGTTAATTTTAACTATTCGATTTCAGTCTTGATACGGCTAAAGCGTACGCATAGAACTTAAAATTCTGGAGTTCAGTCATAGGGGAAATAAAAGTTATTCTATTATATCTACAACTGTTTGAAGCTTCTACGTGATAAATAGTCTTTACTGGTTTTTTAGTTGACATAAGTTATACAGCCGAACCAATGAGTAACGAGAAGTTAGGGGGCAAATATCAAAACAGAGTTAGGAATAAGCGTTAGGAGTTGAGACCAATTGTTGCAGCTATAGTTTCAAATCATAAACTGACACTAACTAGAATGTAAGAACCCTAAAATTATATCTTAATTCGAATTCATTATATTATAATCCATTCACTAATCTTTGCCGTTACGTGGTTGACGAAAAACGGCTGACACCACGAATCCATTCACTGCATACTTTAGGTTTGCAATAATTCTTTAAGCTAGCTAGGGTGAAGTAAGGCAATGAAAACACATTTTTGTGACTGAAAAGTTCTTCAAGATAAGTTTCATTCAGTCATGTCTGTGTAAAATTACTGACTGAGTGATTTGGCCAATGGTAAGTTGTAAAATCCTCAAACCACCGCTTAAAGCTCCGCAAAACTCGCTCGAAGAGCGGGAACTTAGACTAGCAAATT